TACAGCCTACAAGCATAATACAGTTTAACACTACCTGTTAGCAGAATCCTTGCACTTCAACTAAACTTTAACAATTGATGTACCGCTAATGTTTTTCTTGCTGATGACAGATATGATTCCGAAGCTGCATCAACAGCTACTTTTAATGACAGCCCAGACACAGTCTGATTCGACAATCAACACATACGAACCCTATTGGGAGAAGTTTCAGAGTTTTTGCACCAAGGCAAAAGTGGCATTTCTCCCTGCGGCGGACCTAACAGTCGCACTCTACCTCGTACATGCCATCAACCACAAGGCTACCGTCTCTAGCGTGCAGCTCACATGCGCCGCGATTAGCTTCGCCCACAGGATGACGGGCTCCGCCAACCCAACATGGGGCCCATTCACGACACAAGTGCGCGATTACGCCAAAAGACACTGCCCCCAACAGCGCGAGTGAAGGAACCTGTCTCCCTGCATCAGGTCCATACGATGGCTAGGCCATTTCTCCAATCGAGTCAACCAGGCAATACCAGAAAGGCCTCATCATACTGCTCATGTACTCCGCATTCTTGCGATTCTCATACTTAGTGGCAATCCAATGGGAGGACATTCAATTTGAGGAAACGGCAATGTGGCTGCTAATCCCACACTCAAAGACAGACCAAGAGGGCAGGGGCGTGTGGGTCCCCGTCGCCACATCGGACGGACCGCTCTGTCCGGTGAGGTGCACCCGCCATTTCATCAAGCTAGCAGAATACGGGCCGACAACCAAAGGGCCACTGATACGCGTCTTCCGCCGCAGCTCACCGCCGTCTCCATTAGACAAAGCCCCATCTTACCCCACTATCCGTGCGTGGTGCATGCAAGCGTTCGAAGCCGCAGGAATCGACACAACACACCTCGGCACACACTCCTTTCGCAAAGGAGCAGCCACCGTGGCAGCCAGTGCGGGAGTTCCGGATCGCATCTTCAAACGACTTGGGCGCTGGCGAAGCGAAACAGCGAAGGACCTATACGTGACAATCTCGCAGGACCATCTTATCGCAGCATCTCGTAACATTCAGGACGAAGCTCACGCACCGTCCCCCTCACAACATCATCACGCCATTACGAGGCACCGCAAACCTTCTCTCCACATGTCTCAGAGGACCCAGTTGAAATGAGACGTTGCATTTGCAAGGCAAATCGCAAGCTTTCACAATATGTAAAATTCTTTAAAGTGTGTAACACTTTTCAAAATTGTGTATTGTGAATAGCGAAGCGAGTTGTACCGAAGCAAAGGCTTCGGCGAACCGCTACTTCCCCTCTTTTTGGTACAAAAGAGGGGGCGAAGGCCATTTGGCCTTCACCCACGTTTTCATTTCGAACTTTCAATTTCAAGTTTCCCACCCCCCCACCCTAGCATCAAATACATGATAGCTCTGAATGTTGTATAATGCTTGGACGATAAAATCTTGTACTTGCCAGTTGAAATGAGACGTTGCATTTGCAAGGCAAATCGCAAGCTTTCACAATCTATATACCGTATGGCCCCGGATAAAAGCGCATATGCGCTTATAATAAAACTTGATTTTTTAGGGGTGGCGCTTGTAATTGAGTAACGACCATGAGCGCCGGCGCTAATGTAACGGCAAAATTGAATGTAGTTTTTAAGAGTACCAAACTGAAGCCCACAATAAGGCGAACACAGCTGTGTACACTGCGCATGCGTTCGTGCATGCAAAATCCCGCGAAAACAGAGGCGCTTCGGTTTCCCACCCCTCGAATCTTGTCCCAGAGCAACGCACCTGCCAGCGGTGACGTGCATCCTGCCGTGCGGCCCAATAGGAGAGCCATGCACTGCCAGGCTGCAACAAACCACCCGAAGCCTCTAGAAGGGGGTGGAATATGCTGCCAGCGCGGCAAGAATGAGCCACGATACCCTCCTCTCCGGGTTTAGGCAGGGTGGCAGTCGGCTTTCCCCGACGAGGACCCCGCACCGCAAACCTGAAGGGGTCCCCTCCAATTGCTCATTTGGGCACTCGTTTCATTCAGTGACCACATTCTGTTTCTTGTTTTCTCCCGCCTGGCTGCGGCAGCCATGGCGGAATTTACAGGCACCCATTTTCTATTCAAGAAAAAGCCCAATCGTAGACCCGCCTACGTAGTCGACCCGACGGATGGTACACCCGTGTCCCTGCTGAACCACCAGAGCCACCAGAGCCACCTCAGCCTCCATCGCCTCCTGAGCCGCCTGCTCCTCCTGCTCCTCCTGTGCCGCCAACACCTCCGCAGCCTCCTCTACCTCCGTCTCCGCCGATTCCGGAGTGTCATCTGCAGACGGGTGGTCCGCCCGTGCTCACGCTCCTGACCCCGTCTGAGTTCGACAAGTGGCTGGAGGAACCGGAAAGCAACAAGGGCCCACATGAGTGGGTTCACGGCGCACCTTACACTGGACCACGGTGGGGCCGGCCCGAAGATTGCACCACGTGGGACGAATCTGCACTCGGAGCTGACGACGCCGTGGCTGAGGACGAGGAAGCGAGCAGTTCTGACGGCGAGAAGGATGAGGAGGGTGGCGCGCACGTCGGCACCCCCGAGGATGTCTTTCCAGAGGGTGTTCCCGGTGGCGACGACGACGACGGAGTGGAGTACTGGTCGTGTGACGGGCTCCCAGAGGAATTGCCGATACCTTCGTTTCCGCCAGCTAACCGCAAGCGGCCCCACCGGTCTACCCAGGATCGTGATGCCCGCCCCCACTCTCCCAGGCACAAGATAAGCGGGCACAAGCGTAAGGGCTACACCGCCGCGGAGAAGTTGAAGTACGTCGCGCTGATGGATGGGACGGTGTCGGTGCGCTCTCTGGCCCGGGACCTTGGGATTTACCGGAAGTGTCTCGCCAACTAGAAGGCCGCTGCGGCGTTTCTCAAAGAAGCCCACTCCGCACGGAAGCGCATGCACGGTCGCGGGAGGTCCTCGTGGTACCGCCCGATGGAGCTGAAGGTGTACGAGCGTCTCCTTGAGTGGCGCCGCAAAGGAACCGCGGTGTCCGTCGGCCGTTTGCGGGAGTGGTCGCGGGAGTTCATGAAGGAGCTCTACCCGCACGACAAATGGCGTGGGAGTCAGAGGTGGTCGGAGCGGTTTCGTAAAAGGTGGAATCTGAGCGTCCGCATGAAGACGCGGGTTGCCCAGAAAACTGCCTCTCGTAAGAGTTTGTTCACCGGTTTTTAATTCCCTGGTTTATGTCACGATCTAACCTGCCGTCTATCCTGCCTGTTCTTACCCCCTCTCACAGATGTCGAGGCGCAGTGCAAGTTGTTCTGGCGTTTTGTGCGAGCCATGCGTCGCGAGCGCAACATCGAGAACTGCTGGATCATCAACGCCGATCAGACGCCGCTGTGGCTGGAGATGCCCGCCACCACCACCGTCGAGCAGACGGGCGTACGGTCGGTTCCGATAAGGAGTGGAGGCTACCAGAAGGAGCGTGTGACCGTGATGCTGGCGTGCTTGGCGGACGGGGTGAAGCTCAAGCCGTGGGTGTTTTTCAAGAGGAAGACTCTGCCGAAGGGCGAGTTTCCGCCCGGTGAGATATAGCACCTGCGGTTTTTTTACCGTATGCTGTTGTTTTTCATGCCGCGCTAACTGTTTATGTTCCTCATGTGTGTGTAGATGTGGTCGTCGCGTGCCACGAGAAGGGGTGGATGGACGCTAACGGCGTCATCCGCTGGCTTGAGGAGTGCGTCAAGCCGTTCTTGAAGCCCCGATTTGGCAGGTCTGCTAAGGGCTCCATGCTCGTGCTGGACTCCTACCGCGGCCATCTTACCGAGGGGGTGAAGGAGAAGTTGCGCGAGCTCAACTGCGTACCTGCAATTATCCCGTCGGGATGTACGGCTGAAGTCCAGCCTCTCGACGTCTCCATCAACAAGAGCTTCAAGGCATCTGTGCGGCAGTAGTACCAGAAGTGGTTTGAGGAGGAGGGCCAAGAGCAGCTGACAGCAGCAGGTACGTTGTAGCCGGAGTTCACGCATGCCTAGTCCCCCCCTCTCACCCTTGGCTGCTGAATAACCTTCCCTGTGGTGTGTATGCTGTGGTGCAGGGAACCTGAAGAAGCCCCCCCCAGCAGTGGTCCTTCGCTGGATCTCACGGGCGTGGAAATCTGTACCCTCCGACCTCGTCAAGCGCGCCTTCCTCACCTGCGGCATTAGCAACGCACTAGACGGCAGTGAGGACCACCTCGCCATGGCGCACAGGCGGACTCAGCTGTCGGCAGAAGTGGATGTCGACGACGACATCGTTGCCGACGGCTTCTTTGGCAACAATTGCCTGGAGCCGGAATCTGACGAGGAGTAGTGTAACACCTAGGTAGAAAATCGCCCCTAGGGGCCTGCTGTATGGCATGGTGTAGTGTTTTTAGAAATCCTCGTAGTTTGAAAAGTTCTTTTAAATTGTAATGTTAGAAAAAATAGTAAAAACTTTTAATGGTGGCGCTTATAATAAGGACGAGTACAAAAGGGGGGGGCGCTTATAATCGAGGAACGGCCATAAGCGCCATGCTCCAGATAGAAGCGCCGGCGCCTTTAATAGGCCGGCGCCTATATCCGGGGCCATACGGTATCTAAACGATATGAATATTTGACATCTACTACTATTTATATGCTTGTATTTGCACGTTTTAACTATCTTAATCATTTTACATTCACTTTAATTTGAGGTCAAGGGCCCACCACTACCACACACTTTGTGCGAACCTTTCCGAGATGATCCTGGTTCCGATCAACTTCTGATCGCAGCACACTTGATGTTTGGGTCTGGAATAACAGACTTGAAAGTTTTTTTCAATTGGGAATTCAGACACCTAGAAATGTATTCTCAAAAGCTCAGACCAGCCAAAAAAAATATCTTATCCCATTCTAGTCCAAACATTTGGTGAGCTATGATATGCAATGCACATTTTTGCCTCATGGTTCATATTTCTACCATATTTCTTATTCCTTTGGTCTCTTGTTTCCATGCCCTATCTGATAGCTCCGCATTCCATGTATCGCGTATCAGGCTGCCTAGTCTTATCCTACCTGATGCAACGTGGCAAGCTGAGGCCCCTCCTTCCAGATGCCCCTGCCACTTCACTCCATCGCCTTTGGCGGTTTGCTCGTTCCGAAATGCCTTTCAAAACTTTTAGCGCAAATACAGGCCTTCATGCGATCCACCTTCGAGCATTTGGTTTCATCGCAATTAGTGAGCACCTAGCAGCCGCGCGCGTCCCTTTGGTACTTCGATCAGCCCGCGTCGCTCTTCCGCCTAGATTTCATAAATGGCAGTCGCGGTCACAAGCGCCTCTCTGCGCGCCGCCCTGACCGCGCGACTTCCGCGCGTTGCCGCGACCGCATCTCTGCAGTCCGCCTCGCAGAGCTCCTCCGCCAGCTTGCTTCCGCGCGCGTCACGAAAATCGAAGCAGGATGGAGGGAGGCGGGCCTCGCATACCGTGTCGGCTAGCGCTGCCGCGGAGGGATCAGCAGACAGCTCAGTTGCTGTAGCTGCTGCTTCAGATGCAGCCGCTCCTGCGGCCACCGCTCCTGGTAGGCTAATCACCGCGCCGCTTGCGATTCTGCGGCAGTTTCCCATGGGATGGCGACGAGCTACGCTCGTGGTAAGCACGCGCAATTACCTCGAGGCACACAAGCTCTTAACGCGAGTCTCCCTCGTTTCGCTGCTTCAACCCCACATGTTTGCACATTGGCGGAGGCCCTAGAGCCGCACGTGGGGCGAAATACGTAAGGCGTCGAAGCGCCCCGAGGCGGACAGCCTGTGCTGAGGACCTCCCTCGTTACGCGTCTTCGCACTCCCTTGGCAGATGTGTGCAGCCTCGCCGAGTCGCTGGAGCTGCGCGTGGGGCGGATCGTGCGCGCGTGGAAGCACCCCGAGGCGGACAGCCTGTTCGTGGAGGAGGTGGACGTGGGCGAGGAGAGCGGCCCGCGCACCATCTGCAGCGGGCTCGTCAAATACATTCCCGAGGCCGACCTGCAGGTGAGACGCAGGCGCGCATGCAGGTGAGACGCACATGCAGGTGAGACTCGCGATAGGATGGCAGTCGAGTGATAGGATGGCAACCGGGTGATAGGTATGACGAACCAGATTATATCGAATGAATAACGAGGACATGAAGCTTCCTTGACGCAGCGAGCACATACTTTACCCTGAGGTAAACAACAACAACATGAGGGGAGTCATCCCAATGAAACAATCCTGGCGTCCCCTTTTTTCCGCCGTCTCTTCCCACCGCACCTCTCCCTTCGTTTCCCCCCCTTGAGGATTGTGTGGTGGTCATCAAGTGACGCCGTGCAACACGAGGGCCATCAAGTTCAACCACCAACTCATCCCGCCCTTCCCCCTCTCCTCCTTCCTCCACCCTACCCCTCCCCATTCAACCCTCCACCCCGCACCCAGGATCGTCTGGTGGTGGTGCTGCGGAGCCTGAAGCTGTGCTGCAGGAGGGCCGTCAGATCCAAATGCAACCTGACCCTCTTCCTCTCCCTCCCCCTACCCGTTTCTTTCCACCCCATCCCCACCCTCCCACCCACCCCCTTTCTCCCCCCAGGATCGCCTGGTGGTGGTGCTGGCGAACTTAAAGCCGCGCAACATGAGGGGCGTCAAGTCCAACGGCATGCTGCTCGCTGCCTCCGATGCCGCCCACGAGACCGTCCAGCTCCTCTCGCCGCCCGCCGAAGCTGCACCCGGCGAGCGCATCTGGTTTGGCGCCGAGGCTGACGGTTCCTCGCAAGCTGCTGCCGCCACTCCGAACCAGGTGTGTAGGAGGCGGACGGATGGAACGGTTGCTGAGGGAGGGCTAGTTGTCAGTGGTAGCGCGTGGGGGTTGTCGTCAGTGGTAGCGCGTGGGGGTTGTTGTCAGGGGTTGGGAACGCTCCTTTTTCCTTGCATGGCATTCATCATGTGGCTCACTCTTTGCCCCCAACTCCAACTGGTTGACGTTGCCTCCTCGTGCTTCATTTACTGCTCTTTGTCAGTGTCATCTCATCATTGCGATCAGTGTCATCTCATCATTGCCATCAGTGTCATCTCATCATTGCCATCAGTATCATTGCCCCCCCAAGGCCTTTGATTGTCACGTTATTGGAGGCTTCCCTCTCCTTTTGTGCCGTCGTGTTTCCGTGGCAGCTGCAAAAGAAGAAGATATGGGAAACTGTGCAGCCACAACTGAAGACCACAGATGAGTGCGTTGCTAGCCACACTACTGGACAAACCAATGCGGGTGGCAAGCGGTGTCATCACATGCAAGTCCCTGGTTAAGGCAAACATTGGCTGACTCTTGCGTAATACCTTTTTTTAGTAACAGATGCCAACCAAATGGCACATCTGGGAAGGCAAGCATCTAGGTTTTAGATACAGATGGTCATATTCGCCAAGCGAATGGATTGTCCATTAATCACGATGACAAACATGAGCTGCTATCCACATGTCGCTGAAAGCGTGCTAGGGGAACTATGGTACACAAAACAATAAGAGGCGACGAAATTATCTATGGGTTGCGATTTGGTTCGAACAAATGTGCCTGCGGTCTACATTCTATAAGGGGTTTTTTGGGGGCATTTGTTATAGTGCTAACCCTTTGGTGTGTGTTCGTTGGGGAGCGAAGTGAGCGTGTCCTTCAAAAACGAGTGCGCTTATGATAAAACTTGATTTTTCTGGGGGGTGCGCTTATAAATGAGAAAAAATAAGCGCATGTTATAAAAGAGCAGATAAAAAAATTCAAATTAGTAGCACAGAAATGTAGTTCGCGTCATTGCGCACCCAATCGAGTCGATTTGAAACAGGGTTGTGGGTGAAAATCTCTCGCTACTTGGCAAGGAGTGTTCCTACGGATGGAGGAGGAAACTGTTGGGCCGAAAAGGCCCTTAGGATCTTTGCAAGGGTAAACTCTGGGTAGGGACTTTGTTGTAACAGCGGAAGTCTTAATGAAGAGGTTTGAACCACCTTGCGCTGGTATGTGAGGGCAAAGTAGATTGATTATAGCAAAGAGATACAAGATTATATAATAGTACAAGGAATACGAAAAGATACGGTTGTAACTACTTTACTGTTGCTGTTGCGGTTCGATACAGTGACGACTCGGGCAACTGCTCTGTAACGAGTCAGTTGTGTGTCCTTGCTGTCGCGCTGTATTTGTCAGGTCAAAGGTCGCTGACCTTTGACTTTCGCGTAACCTCCAGCAACCTCTTTCAACCTCCGAGGGTTGACTCGCGGGTGCTTCGATATGGTTCGCTTTGCTTCTGGTGCGGTGTTTCGACACGACAGAGGCGCTTAAGATTCACTGTTTCCAACACTCCCCTTCGCTTCTGGAGTGTCGTTGCTGGTGACGTGGCTCTGTCCAGTCAGCAGCATGCAGTACTCGAACTTCTGCTTTCCGAGTTTCTTGGTCAAGTAGTCAGCTGCCATCTCGGATGTGGGGCAGTATGACAGCTCGAGTCTCCCCTTCTCGATCTCGTCCTTCACGAAGAAGTAGCGTAGGGCGATGTGTTTCGTCCTGTTCGCAAAGCCGTTCTTGTTGGCGATGCGAATTGCCGACTGGTTGTCGCAGAACAGGGTGAAGTTGGGTAACTCGGCTAACTTCGCTTCTTCCAGCAGCTCGCGAAGATAAAGGCCTTCCTTGGTGGCTGAGCAGAGTGCGATGTATTCTGCTTCAGCTGATGAGAGTGCGATTAACTCCTGCTTGCTCGACTGCCAGGAGATAGGACCGATAGGTTCGAGGCGGTAGATGAAACCGGTGCGCGAGCGCCTGTTATCGGAGTCGCCGGCGTGATCGGCGTCGACGTAGCCGATTAGCTTAGTTGGTGTAGTTGCGTTCTTGTGGTAGGTTAGGCCGATTGTCGGGGTGCTGACGAGGTAGTGAAGAGCGCGGTCGAGCTCCGCTAGATGCTCTGCTTCATGCCTTTTGAGGTAGGTGACGAGCTGGCTTGCGGATTATGAGAGGTCAGGACGGCAGGTAACGGCTGTGAAAAGGAGGCATCCTAGCTTCCGTTGATAGTCGCGTATGCCGGCGGGTTTGAGTAGAGCAGATCCTCCCTTGGTGCTTCCTGTCGTGTAGCGGTACGGCGTGGAGATGGCGGTCGGCGTGAGAGCGAAGCGCTTGGCGATGGTGTCGGCGTATTTCGCGGCGTTGAGGTAGATCGCGTCTTCTTCTTCTCGAATGTTGAGGCCGAGGTACTGAGTGACGGTAGGCGAGACCGTGAGTGTGAGGTCTTGCTGCAGCTCCCCTTCGAACCAGGTGGTGATGCCGTCAGTTGATCCGGTGTAGAGGAGATCGTCCACGTAGACGATTAGTAGGATGTAGTCGTCGTTCTTCGTGAGCCGGTACATGCCCTGGTCGTGCGGGAGTTGCTTGAAGCCGATGTGAATGAGACGGGCGTGCAGGTACTGTTGCCATAGTCGCGGGGCTTGTTTGATGCCGTAGAGCGACTTGAGCAGCTGGCAGACGTGTGTGGAGTCTGTGTTGGAGCCGTGTGGTAGCTCCACGAAAATCTCTGCGTCGACAGGTGCGTAGAGGAATGCGTTCGCGACGTCGATTTGTCGCAGCTTCTTCTTCTTCATGGCGGCGATTGCGAGGAGAATGCGTAGTGAGGTGTGGCGGCTGACCGGAGCGAAGGTTTCGGTGAAGTCGCGTCCGTGCTCTTGGTCGAAGCCGCGTACGACCCAGCGCGCTTTGAATTTGTCGATGGTGCCGTCAGCTTTCGTCTTCACGCGGAAGACCCATTTTCCCGTGAGGATGGTCTTGTTTCGTGCTACACCGATAGGAACGATTTTCCAGGTGTTGCGCTCCTCTAATGCCTTCAGCTCCCTGTCCATGGCTTCGCGCCATTTTTCCCTATGCTCCCCCCCCAGAGCCTGCTGAACTGTCGCAGGCTCCTTAGGATTGGCGGCGTCGTGGACTGCGGTGACGAGTCCAAGTATCTGGAGTCCACTCTGTGTGTAGCGGGGGAGTGTGGTATCCTCGGGATAAACTGCTTCGTCTCCAGCTTCTGGATCAGGTGCGAAATTGGGCCCTACGCGTTCTGCTTCGTTGGTGTTGACTTCAGCGGGTGTAACGTAACCGTTGTCGGCGAAGTGGTAGTAGACTTCGGCGTTGATGCTTTCGCGTGGGTTGTCGTCATCCATTGGAACATCCACTGAGCAGTAGGGAAGAGGTCCGGCTTCTTCCGAGGCTCGGTCCACAATTTGCTCGTCCCAGTCAGCTTCGTCTTCTGCCGAGGCGAAGGCTCGAGTGCCAATAAATCCGCCCGAGGGATCAGGTCTGTTTGCTCTTACGTAGGCGAGGTGAACGTCGAGGGTGAGGTTCTCGTAGAAGATGACATCACGTGCTGCGACTGTTTCTTTGCTGTTGATGTCGAAGATTTTCCATGCGTTGTAGTGTTTTTCGATGCCTAAGTGTAGTCCCCACTGTGCTCGCTGGGAGAATCGGCCGGCGCGTGCAGATGGGGGTCGGTACTGTACCATGCAGCCGAAGACTCTCAACATTTTTGTGCTGCCCAATTTTCCTGTCCACAGCAGGTGCGGTGATGCGTTGTTCGGGAGTGATGATGACGAGAGCAAGTTGTGCAGCATGACGGCGTGGTCCATTGCTTCGGGCCACTGGTGGTTGGGCAGGTGCATGCCACGTAGCAGCTTGCGCATGGTGGCTTGGAGTGTCCTGTTCATCCTTTCTGCTACACCTTGTTGTTGATGAGCGTAGGGAAGGGAGATGAGCCGCTTGATTCCCCTCTCTGCCAAGTAGTCCTTGAACCTCTGTGAGGTGTATTCTCCTCCCCCGTCTGATTGGAAACTTTTCAGTTTTACGCCTGATTCTCTTTCTGCTTCGGGAAGCCAGGCGACGAACGCTTCGAAGGCCATGTCGCGGCTTGGTAGGTTGACGTGCCAGACGTATCTGGTCGCGGCATTGATGAAGGTGATCTTGTAGTTGTAGGCGTTTTGTCCGGGCTCGCGGTTGTACAGGATGTCGCTGTACACCTTTTCGAGTGGCGCGTAAGCTGGTGCGCTTGGATTGTGGTGAGATGGAAACGGTTGATGTGTTAAGTCTGCTTCGGGGCAGGTGAAGCATGTTCCTCGAGCTCGTTGAAGTTCTCTGCCGTCGGTCAGTAGAAGTGAGTCTTTGTCAAGCACTCCTGCTCTTATTGTGTTGTTTAACACTGTGTGGCTCGGATGTCCCATCCTTGCGTGCCAGGTTCCTTCAGTGGCGCGGTGTCCGGGTGAGCGTCGGTAAATATCGGAGTTAGAGTAGAAGCCGGCGGTGACGTTCGCGCTTCGGTGGACTTCTCGTTGTGTCGGGTTGAGCTGCTGCGCGGGTGTAAGTGGCGTGTCGTCGATCGAGGGTGGTGTCGTTGATGGACCAGCGACTGGTGTTGATGTTTCTGCTGCTGCCGACGTTGTCTCTGCTACTGCCGATGTTGTCTCTGCTGCTGCCGATGTTGTCTCTGCTGCTGCCGATGTTGTCTCTGCTGCTGCCGATGTTGTCTCTGCTGCTGCCGATGTTGTCTCTGCTGCTGCCGATGTTGTCTCTGCTGCTGCCGATGTTGTCTCTGCTGCTGCTGATGTTATGTCTGCTGCTGCCGATTGTTGGATCGTAGCTAACACCCATGTTATCTCTGTCTCAGGGATGGTATGTGAGTACCAGAAGCCGCCGGGGCTGAAGTCTGGATCAAGGTCTGGTGGGTGCGTCCAATTGGTGAAGTTGACGATGGCGTCGCTGTCGGCGGTGCCAAGATCTGGAACGAAATCAAGAACGAAGACGTTGTTCTTGAGGACCGCCTTGCCGATGTAGAGTCCTCCTCTCCCGTGATATAATTTGAACTCTTGAGTGGTGCTGTCTGCTTCGAGATGGATGCCTTTCGCCATCAGCTGACTGACGCTCAGTAAGTTGTATCCGAGGCCTTCTACGACTAAAACCTTGGACATCTGCAGGATGGCGTTTGTCTCCCGTGACTGAAGTTGAACGATTCCTTGTCGTCGTGTGCGCAGGTTCTGATTGTTGGCGACGGTGATGACTACTTCTCGTTGAAGCTGGTATTCTCGTTGCACGAAGCGTCCTGAAGAACACATGTGCTGTCCGCAGCAACTGTCCAAGAACCACGTGTCCTTTCCGGATGGCTCGCTTTGGGCGATGGCGGCGTATGTTGGGTTCGGGTGAAGTGACTCGCGGCGGGGAGTGGTTTCATCGAGTTGTTCTTCCGGTGAGTGGTGCGGTGGTGATTCTGTGATGCAGGAGTCGCTTAATCTTGCCATGCAGCTGACGATCTTTC